ACCTTACTGCAGTAAAGTAGCTCACTTATACAGTATCGCTCAAGTATCTTATATGAACGCATCTTAGCCATAAATTGCTCCTCGTTGCAATGATTCGCACGATCCTAGAAAAATAAAACACAGTCACCCACACAAGCTACATGTAACAAAAAATAGATTAATTTCATGACAAGAATAGACAAAGCAGACAACTGTACCGAAACTGAAGGTGGAAAGAACCAAGACAAGCCACCACTGCGACCACAACTTCGTTCTTCTAGTGTCTTGCACAGACACGCCATTTCTATAATCTAATGCATCATCATCACATATACCAAAGTCAGCAATATACGTTCAATATACTAAATTACACACATAAAGGAACTTACCCTTGTTGAAATTTTGGTCTTGGCAAAAGCTCGACAAAATCTTCACGTAACAAGGAAAGAACCCCACCACCAAGACTAACCAATATGTCACTGTTATACAATACCAAGTTCAAACAACACAACATTAGAATAAGGCAAATACCAAAAACATCCTACAAATATGATCCAATTTTACTTGTAATGATTTCGGGAGGTACCTTTCGGGAAGCTCACTACTAAAAGCAAATTGAATCATCTTCACTGCCTCCAGAGTCAATGGTGTCTGAACAACAAAGGGAGGAGCACGGTACAAAGGTTGTGCTTTCTTAGCTCTGGGATTTGCCCGTTCGAATGGAGAGACCACATACAAACTAGGCTTCAATTTAGACACACTACGTAGTCCTCCTCCCTTTCGCCCCTTTCTTGTTCAAAAACATAAAAACAAAACCAGTTCATTAGTAACCACACCATAAGAACCAATAATTAGAAAACTTAATCAAGTGAAATACCTTCACAGCCTTGGAACAACCATCATTAGCAGCAACACTTTCATCACTCAACAATATGAATTTCTCAACTTTAGACGCTTTAGGCTGCTTGCAAGGAGACTTTTTCACAACTTTCACAGAAGGAGATTCAGAACATCTGTCATCTCCAATTTCCCCCTTAGCTTCTCCCGAATTCTCAACTTTGGCAGTCTTGACACATTCCGAGGTAGGAGAAATGGGTTCCCTTGGGTTTTCAACCTCACCCTTCTGATCGTTCTTTTTCAACTCAGCTGTAGGAGAAATGGGTTCCCTAGGCTGCTCCCTTGACAACGGATCACCTACAGTTGCTTTCACTGCCTCTATAAGGGACTTCACTGCAATACCGATTTCTTCTCTAAAAGCCCGAAATTCGTTCTCCATTTTCACAACCCGGCTCATTAGCTCATTATCTCTAGAAGCAGCATCACCCATTGCCACTCTAAATTCTTGACCAAAGTTGTCAATTCTACCCTCCATGGTACTAAACCGAGCATCAATACGCTCATAGAGAAGCAGCTCATCCCCGTCGGGTTTGTGCCGTTTCCCGTCTCCTTTTCCCCGTTTCCTTGGAGGTGATTTCAAACCGGCATCCTCAGCTGATCTTTTCCCCGAACTGCTGGAAACCTATAAATTAATTAAAAAGGGAACCAAATGTACCATTAGCATGCTCCAACTTGTCAAAAGAATCAAATATACTATCAATCTTACCACTTTTGTTAACAATAACTCCACGTCTCCGCTCTCCCAACTCATCAAATCCAAACTCCCATCAATGGTTTGGAAAATACCATTTGCATGCTCCAAGAATATTAACTACAAAAAAATACTATAATCAACATGATGATTAATCATTACAAATATGTAGAAAGTCGGGATTAGCAATTATTTACCTCCAAAAACAGCAAGCAACCCGGTATATACTCTCTCCTATAAGCATTATGGTCGCAGATGCCTTTGACCAATTCATTGAAGCAAAAGGATGCCCAATTCTTCTTCGGAATGTCTGCAACATCGGTGACAGCGTATACCGAAGACAAGGAAATGTCATCTCTTCTAGTTGGTACTAATAGAACCCCCATTACGTACAAAATAAACATTTGAAGAAATAGATCGCCGCTATCTTTCATCTCCGACAACGCCTTCTGCATTAAGCTTGTGGAAATCGCCTGTCGGCCACAATCACGTGTCGAAAACACTCTAAATGGTTCCAGTTCCTCTGATCTTCCCTCCACTTCTTCACCATTCAAGATGATATCAGTACCTCCCTCAGGCACGCCCATAATTCGCTCGAAATCTTTGGCCGAAATATTTACTTCCAACCCATACGCCTTAATTGTGCTTTTTTCCAGATTAAAGCTCTTCAAAAGTTTCTCCAACAACTCACGTTGTATCTTTCTTCCTTTGACTTCAAGAATACGACCAAAGCCACATCTCTTAATGGCCTCTGATTGACAAGCCTCTAAATTTGAGACTAGTGAGAATACTTTTCTAGGAGAACATCGCGTTCTGAAAATTTGATGCCTCTTCGTCTTCATTATAGAACAATTTTAGCAAACTGCAAAATTAAAACAACAGAAAAATTATAAGCATGCCTTGAAACACGAATTATAAGCATGCCGAATAGTACAAACAAAATACAAGTTCTAACTACCAGAATAACTGAAAACCCCCTACATCAACACCTGAGTACACTAATTAACCATGAAATCCGCCATTGGCATATATAAATTTCACCCAAAATGCAAATTCTCACGGCCGTGACATGACCCGTGACAAGCAAAGAGTAGTTTTCATATCTCCAGACAATCTCACGGGTTTGGCTTCATAAATCACGGCCGTTAAAATAAGCCGTGAAACTCCAAAACACCCAGATTTCAATAAACATTCTCACGGCTAATTCTGGAAATTTCACAGCCGTAACATCTTCTCAGGAGATAAGCAAAACAGAAGAAAAGGTTTAATCATCTATTCACAGAAGAAAAGGTTTTCTCTTTGCAGTCTCAAACTTGTTATCAAGGTCATCGATCTCCGAAACTAGAGGGTGTGATCTAGCAGGCAAACTGTTGGAGCAAGCATGGAAAGAAGCAGGCTGCCATTTTTCCTGGTTTTCTTGATGTGGGGAAGTTGTATGAAGTTTGGAAGAGATGATTTGTACAGAGATTTCTGACATGGTTGTTTAGATCCAAATCATTCACAACATTTTCTCATCTCATCTCATCTCATTCATCCATTCATTGTTTTATAAATGCAAAGAGAATGAGATTCCTCATGTGTCTCCTTTGAGTATAATGATGACATATCAATTCCTAGAAAGCATCACATCAGGCATTTAGAGGCCAGTAGTGGTCAAATTGAGTAGCTCAGCAAGGAAAATAAATTCTTCAGCCAATGAATGCAAACAGCAGCTGCTGAACAATATAATAAAAGCGAAAACTAGACATGAAGCAGGAACCAGATTGCGGAACTAAGATCATATAGCATAGTTATTAGTACAGCGATGCATATACTTTTAAAGTTTCATGACCAAATTTGCTAATACTTATACAGGCAATCAGCATGAAGCCACACACAACTTTGCTGGACCAATCACGTTCCCACTTATCCGATCAACTGTCGCTGAAGCCCCCACTGTAGGACTGCAACTAACTAGGGAACTCCTAGCATTATAGACACTACACAATGTGATCAACGCTACCGAGAAATGCGAAGCAATATGGAACAGGCTACTCAAACAACATTCCAATGCCACAAACACAAATCCACAGCCACTGGGGAAACATTTCTCAAAAGGAATGTCAAACACTGGCAAACTTGAATCAAAATTACGAACGAAGAGCACATTTCTAGCAGATTCCTATGACAACTACCAAAGATAGTAACCAACTTACGAACGAAGAGCACATTTCTAGAAGACGAGAAAACAACTCTGCATCACAATCGCAAACCATCAGATGCAAAATTCAACCAAGTATTTCTAATGATGATTGTTCACTATCCAGCAAGGCAACCACAACCATGCACAACTCTCCCTTCAAGCTTCAATGTGTAAATCGACTCACAATGAACTTTAGTAGCAGGAAATCTATGGTTGTATGGTTAATGGAGGAGCAACCAACAACCACATTACACCACGTTGCTTTGACAAAGACCTCTCTCCATCTATAGCCCTATCAGCAAATTTAGCTACCATAATGCTAAACCATCAGCTACCAGATATCTCATATCAGCTGTTGAGTAAAAACAAATGAAACAGATCTTAATGCTTCACTTTGAACCACTCAGCCATCTATCCTACACAGGGCTAACATCACAGAAACTGAGTGACAATAGAGTAAATTCATAACAACTTGTTGGTGGCTGATTGAACAATCAACACAATTCCAACACATCCAATCAATCATAATGAGAAAACATAATGATCGATATCCCTGAGTGATTCATATAAAAACATGAGATAATTATCAAGCTAAACACAAAGAAGATACTACAAGGACATCAACCGGGTAAAAGGACATGACCAATTTAATTCATAAACCTAAATCTGAGCATATTGATAAGCAATATATTATTTTCTCCATCATCGGCTACATGCATAGACTCGTTCACATGATCAATGACAACAGCAAGAAAGTCAAGTTCATATCAACTCGTTTGACAGTAGCAACAGCCTCTTGCTCTGTCTTGTCTTTCATTAATAGCCACTTAAGTTTGGCCAAATACCCACTCCTATCTCATCGTCTTCAGTATGCTATACAACTTAATCCAGATGACTAAACTGATTCTTCGCCTACAGCAGACAACTAAACTGATTCTTCTTCAGCTCGTCAAGTTCCTAAACAACCAATCCATAGTTCAATATGGTAAAACGACCATGGAATTTCAATCCCCCTACCGAAATTTGTAAATCTAGAACATCCCAATATAATCCCTAAACTGATAGCCATACTAACCGGAAAATTGAATAAAATTGTAGAACTGTAGGCATACTAACCGGAAAAAGTTGCGGTGGAGGAGGTAGGTCAGCGGTCTTCGTTTGCTATCGATGGGAAGAGGGGGTTCTGTGCAGGGTCTTCGTTTGCTATCGATGGGACGAGGGGGTTCTGTGCAGGGTCTTCGTTTGCTATCAATGGGAAGAGGGTCTTCGTTTGCAATCGACGAAGAGATGCTCGCTCTCGTCGTCCCCTGCTCGCCGCCTTCACTGTCGTCGTCGGAATCCGGCTCGCCGCAGTCAAAGAGATGCTGCAATCGACAAGCTTCTTCTACTCGTCGTCACCCACTGCTCGCCGTCTTCACTGTCGTCGTCAGAATCTGGCTCGCTAGCTGCGTGGAGAGGATCGAAGGAAGAGGATCGAAGGAAGAGTAAACGGCGGTGAGAAGAAGTGAGAAGAAGGTTGCGTTCTCGTCAAAAAAAAAAGAGAAGAAGGTTGCGTGTAAGAGGATCAGACAACCGGTTGTACCGGTTCTCCACCCACAAATAAAATAACATATTAATAATTTAAATAAAATCTATGGTTGATATAGTTTGAACATAATCTAATGGCTGTAAATGTTTTATAGCACCAATACTATAAAGCACACTAAAATGCCTCAACTTGCCATACATTTCAGTATCTGTAGCTAACGAAAACGTATTGTGAGTTGGGAGTTGGAACGTGACAAAACCCAAGACTTAAAAATTGCATACGACGTAAGCCTGCTCCTACCGGCGCGCCGTGTACCAACCGTGGGCAGGATCATGGAGAACAGAGAGCCAAATAAACAAAAAGGAAAGAAGCAGCAGGAGGAGCTGTCAGCCTGTCACTGTCAGAGTTCCTAATTATGAATGACGTTACCAAATTCAGTTTTTTCTCTCCTCATCGGCGGCGTGGGTCAGTGGCCACCGATGACGACATCCACCCGACGTTGCAGTATCATGAGCGGGCCAGATGGTGCCACGTGGCTTGCATGCACGCCTCTATCACCCCCACCACCATATGGCGCTGTGGCATCCTTCACCGGAACAGGATTAACAGGGACACTTGGCCAGTGGTTGAGGCGCCCACGTGGTGAGATACTGTTCGTTGATTAAAAATAGGGGAAAAACCGTGCTAATTAATTAATTAATTAATTGCCATATAGTGTTTAACCAACTTGTTGACACCAACAGCGTGTTGAGCTCCTGGGCAAAAATTATGGCGTTAGACCATATTTCACAAGAACTGTACGTGAAGGTTTATTTGATGCCGCACTTAGCATGGTTTGTGTAAATTTTATTGTTGGATTAAAGGCGTTGTTTGGCGAACAAAGTTGGATTGAAATATTGAGTGAGTGGATAGTAGCGATGGCAATGGGCGAGGCTGGTTCCTCAATATTTTATGTCCCGCCTCAAGCTACTACGGGTCGGGGCTGGTAATACTTATGTGAGTACTGGGTGGGGCGCGTCGACTCACTCTTACATGTTATTTGAAAAAAATACAAGCAAAATTTTACTTTTTACGATAAAACGAAGGGAAAAACATTTTATGAATGAAAAATAGAATGAGTAATTGAGTCTAACTAGTTGAAAGATCGAGTTCAACTAGTTGAAGAAAAGTCAAAATAGAAGAAATATGAATAAATACTGCAAAAAATTAAGTTAAAATGGGTCAAGAACGGGGTGGGACGGGGCAGGATAAGACGGGTTGTAAGAAGATACCTATAATCCATCTCATGCTATTGCGGCTCGGGTAATACCACCCTATCTCGGATCATATCTGATAATATCCGCATGACGAGTTCAAATTGCCATCACTAGTGAATAGTGTGTTGTCCTATTGCAAAAGAAGTTATAAATTTTTCAAGGTTCACTTAAGCGAATTGGAAGAGGGTGAAGGAACAAGTATTTAATTTCTCAAGTTTCTTGGATTTATGTGATTGTTCTCGTTAAACAGGTGACTAGGAAACTTGTAAAATAGGAAAGTCCGATTTATATATACTCATGAAAAAATGTGGGCCCATCAATTACAAGTAATTCGAGGATTAATAAGTGAATAGAGATGTATTCGAAATAAATAGATTAAATATCTTGATTATCATAGATTTATTAGTTCGAATTCCCTAAGAAAGCAACGCTTGGGATGACGATAAATGAGTTTAGGTATCAAAGTGTCATATAAGTTTTAAGCCACGTATCAAAACAATATTTGTGGACAGGACGGGGATAATATCAGAAATATCTAGAGAAGCCTATAAATATCTCTCTCATTATTCATTAGTCTTTCTCAAAGATTCGATCATTTTCCTTACCTTTTTCCTTCCCCAAGAGTAAACTCTCTCTCAAGCTCTCGCCAAAACCAAGAGTAGAAAAAACCTGAAACACCAAATCGGAAGATCAATTTATAACGAAAGAGCAGAGATTAATCGTTGTGCGGCTGAGAATTTGATCTGAAGAGAAAGCCAGACTGGTTTCCGCTCGAGCTTGGCTTCTTTTCGTGCTCGCTTGCTTCATTGCATGACCTCTGAAAGATCTCACAGGTTAGTTCGTCGATTCCTTCCTTCCCGATTCGTTATTTTTGTTGTTTTCCTCCATTTTAGGGTTCAAGGTTTGCTTCTTGGAGTCTCTTCTCGATTAGTGGCTTGAATTGTATTGGTTGATAACTCCCTCTCTGATTTCGGGTTCTGGGTTTGCATCAACACGGTAGACATTTGGGGATTAGGGTTCGAACATTCGTCCTTCCAATTCATTGCATTAGGAGCAATTAGGAACAATTCGTTTTCCTGCTGTTTGGTCTCCGAGAAAAGACGTCTAATGTTCTAGGCTTCTCCAGAGTTTAAAGTAGCTTAGCGCCGAAGATTCATTGGCACGAAGAATTGATAGTTACTACTTATTAGCTACTTTTGGACTATTCCCTTGCTTGGGGCTGAAGGGAAAAAGGCTTTTATTAGTAAATTGTTACCCGAAATGCTCGCTGGAAAATGGGTAGATGGCAAAATAAAAACGGAAACTAACAACTGGGTTCCAATACTTCGGCTGCAAGTAATTTGAGTGTGTACACGGGTTAAATTCAACATATTTAAGAAGCTATCTCCTTATCCCTCTCTCATAGAGATATCCTGAACCGCGATTGGCTTCTTTCTGCAGATCTCCTGTTGACAATATCTCTGACATGGGTAGCTTCGATCCAGCCTCTACAGCAGCTTGCTCGGATTCTACAAGGAAGAGGAGACGAAGAACAGGAACTGAATCTGTTGTGGAGACTCTTAAAAAGTGGAAGCAGTACAACGAGTATCTCGACACTTGCGCGGATGGAGCCGCTGGCAAGAAGTCTGGGCGAAAAGCTCCCGCCAAGGGCTCGAAAAAGGGATGTATGAAAGGTAAAGGCGGGCCCGATAATTCGCACTGCAAGTACAGGGGTGTTAGACAGAGGACGTGGGGTAAATGGGTAGCGGAGATTAGAGAGCCCAATAAAGGTCCTAGATTGTGGCTTGGCACTTTCCCTACTGCTTATGAAGCTGCTCTAGCCTACGATGATGCTGCTAGAGCCATGTATGGTCCTTACGCCAGGCTGAACCTTCCAGATATCTCTAGGGCCCCGACTACCAGTACATCGAATGGTTATTCTGCGGCAACACCATCTGGTGGGTACTCTACGATTAGTACTACTACATCATCCAACCATTCTGAGGTTTGTGAGAACGAAGATGATGCCAAGGTCTTGGTGGTTCCTGATGTTGAGGGTGAGTCGAAGGCCACGGCTCATGGGGTGGATGAGGTTTCATCTTCGGATCCTTGTAAAGAAGAGCCTCTGTTGATAGACAAGAATGGGGATTTTGATGAGGACCAGACGAGCCTGAAACCGGAAGTGAAAGAGGAGCCCTTGGATGTGAAAGACTATGAGTGTCATGACTTCACGATGGATGAGATGTTTAGCATTGACGACTTACTGGGTGCATTGGAGAATCAGCCACTCGAAGGGGCAGTAAACAACCAGATGCAGGAGCATGATGCTAGATTCATTGGTGGTTCGCAGCACAAGGAGCCAGCACCATTGATCCTTCCTGCTGCTGAGGATTTCTGCTTCGACTTTTTGGAGCCTGGGAGGCAGGAGGACAATACTGTCACCGTTGATGACCAGGGTTACTTGAGCCTGGGCTTGGCCGACTTGGGGTTTGAGGATCTGTGATGGACAAAATGTTTTTATCTTTGTTTTCTTTGTTCTACACGGTTTGCTTCCCTGTCCTTCCAATGCGTTTTTTTCTTGAGGGAGTTGATTCTCTACGAGCTTTTTAGGGACTACAGAAATTGGCTGCTGATTTTGCCTTGATTTCTTCTTCTCTCTTTCTAACTTCTGCTGCTTCTGTAGATCGTGCTTTTGCAGTGGTTAGAAAGATTTGACTTAGACTTTGAAGATGTTTAATTGTTTACTGTAGATTCTATCTGAAAAGGTGTTATCAGAGTAGCAAGTGAGGGTTGTACTTGTATATGACGTCGACTTGAGAGGAATATGGGTTCTCGAATAAATTGACAGGTATGATGCCTGCTTCCGATGTATGAGTTTCTGATTTCCTTATGTCATATAGCCTTCAGAAAATCCAGTGGTTTTGAATCATCATTCCGTGAGCCTCGTCACCATCGGCTTGCAGTTACTGGTTGCTGCCTTACAGGCACGGTGTCGGATGATGGATGGAGCAATCGCAGCAGGATCGCACCAACAGATGGAGAAGAAGATGCTAGCAATGAGACAATAGTGATGCTGCTACTGCTAACACGGCTGAAAGCCTGAAACTCTCATGAATAGGCTCTACAGGAAGTGAGAACAATAGCATTAGCATAAACACTCTGCACAGACAGCGTTGGACAATGGTTCTTATAATTTCTTCTTTGTCTGAAACTCGAAAATGTGAGTCAAATTTATTTGTCAAAGATGTCCGCGTCTAATTTAATATGCAGATGTTATGATCGATAGCGCTTATCGGCAAAATACCTGGCTTGAATTTAAGAAATACAGCACAAATAATGACACAGATCTCTGTTAGGGACTATTCTAGCAAGATTAGACACAAATCAAGATAACAGGAAAGTGAATAAAAACCGCAAGTACTTCACCTTGTAGTGTAGATGGAGGAGCAAGAATGGTGAGTAATTTTTGCTTTTCGTTTACGACAAGTTTGCCGAAATTATTAGTATCCGCGATTAAGGAAAGTAACATCACCCCAATGAATGTGGCCTAATCATTTTATATGAAAGAAAGTAAGAAATCGAAATAAGGCCGAGTCCAATGGGTTCGCTAAATATGGGGAAAAACGGTAAATATGGGAAATTCTCTTCTTCAGTGGGATTTTATTTGGCAACCGGCGTCATTTTTGGCTAAAATCGACAAATGAATCGTTATATTTGGGGAACGTTTTGCCGATTCTCGGGAACGCCGAACGCCCAGCTCCTTTTTTTTATTTTATAAATTAATGGTTGTTTGGGGTTAAATTTGGGATAATTTGTGTGTGAACCGAAATTAGGTCAATTATTTTTTGCCAAAAAAAAAAATTTGGTGTCGGAATTTAAACAAATTTTGTCAAAAAAATTATATTTAAAAATGATGACGAACTATATAAAATTTAATATGAATAAATCATATTAAGGTTTTCATAAGTACATTTTTATGTAAACGGAAAATTAAAAAAAGGGAAGATTCACAAATTTGAAGAATGTAACATTGGAGCAAAAGATAATAAAATAGGAACAAGGTCTCCAAATTTGAGTACTCGCATTGCCTTCAACTTGGTCCAAAGGAATCAAAAGAAAGTATTCCAACTTTAGAGACAACTTGGATAGCTCAAACCAAAGTGGAAACGTTCCACAAACCTCTTCATTGGAGATGGTTCTGTCCTTGTTCCAATCTGTGTTCTCCATATCTGAGCTTGCTCTTCATGGTTCGGGTGTTGCAACTTGGAGCATCTCCATCATTGTTTGGCGGTTTGTTGTCCTTCAAGTGTGGTGTGTTCATCATTTTGATGTAGCGTCGTTGGAGAACAAACTAAAGGAAGTTGTCCGAGTCGAGGAGGAGCGGGAGCTGGCGGGAGTCGACTAGGCCCGCATGGCGTGCATGGCCATGGCCCTTGTTATTTTTAATTGTTCTTGTTTTAATTATTTTAGTTCTCCTAGACAGTAGCGGGAAGGGATAGCTGGGCTATAGTATTTAAGCCCTTGTTTACACGTTGAGAACACATCTTTTGCTTGAATTAAAACTTAACCCTAGTGGGAGTTTCTCTGGTGGATTTCCAGAACCCTATTCAAGTTTGCGGTTGGCAAGCTTTGTGTGTGTTTGGCTTTGCGATTGCAAGCCGATTGTGATTTCCGTCTGCGTCAGGTGGTATCAGAGCCTGGTTTTCTCCTGTCTCTTTCCTAAGCTTGCACAGTCATGGGAGATCAACCAGTCACACGCGCGGACATCGAAGCGATCATCACGGCTTTTACCACGGCGATCACAACCTTGACAACGCAAGTGACGAATTTGGCGGCTCAGGTGAACAACAATCGGAACATGAGGGAGAGGGGCAGGAGAGTCGAGCGTGAAGAACGTCCTAGGAGGGCGCGTGGTGCTCTACCTGATTCTGATTCTGGTTCGGATGAAGAGGTCCAGGACAGGGACCAGGATCATGATGATGACCGACAGAACCGCAATGACTATCGAGTGAAGGCCGATATTCCGTTGTTCTACGGAACCATGGGAGTCGAGGAATTCCTAGACTGGCAGATCGACGTCGATCGTTTTTTTGACATCATGGAGGTACCTGAAAGTAAGCAAATTAAGATGGTGGTTGTCAGGTTGAAGAGCACTGCAGCTGTGTGGTGGGATAAACTGGTCGTCCAACGAAAGGCCCCCATCCGATCGTGGAGACGGATGAAACAGCTGATGATGGAGCGTTTCCTTCCGGATGATTATGAGCAGATTCTGTACAAGATGTACCTCGATTGCGTGCAAGGAAGAAGAAGTGTTACTGAATACACCACTGAATTCTTGCGTTTTGCTGAACGCAACGAGTTGGGAGAGACGGAAGGACAAAAGGTCGCTCGCTATATTAACGGGTTGAAAGGGTCAATACAAGAAAAAATGGGGTTACAGACCGTATGGACAGTGGCTGAAGCTTCTACCTTGACCATGAAACCTGAACTAATGGAGAAGTCCCCTAAACACTTTGCTCCTTTTCGACGGTTCCCTTTGCAAGGCACAAGTGAAACGATAGGTGACAAGGACAAAGCGGTCACCACTAGTGAGCCAACTCCGCCTGTAAAAGGCAGTGGTGGTGCGGGAAGTTCTGCCCCAAATAAAGGACCGCCACCACGAGCTACAAACCCATATGCAAGGCCAATTGGTGACAAGTGTTTTCGATGCGGCGGGCAAGGACATAGATCCAATGTTTGCCCTTCCCGGAAGACAGTTGCAGTGCTTCAGGATGAACGCGACCAGGAAGAGGAAGATAATGAATATGCCGATGTTGAGTTTGCTGAAGAAGAATCGGGGGATGCGGTCAACATTGTTCTGCAACGGGTCTTGTTGTCGACATAGATGAAGGACAAAGGAAGAATCTATTTAGGACCCATTGTTCTATTTACAACAATGTTTGTAATCTCATTGTTGACAACGGCAGTACGGAGAATTTGGTCTCACAAAAGCTTGTGTCATATCTTGAGTTTCCAACAGAGCCTCACGCGAAACCTTATGCTTTGGGATGGGTGAGCAAAGGGCCACAAATTAAGGTCACGAAAACTTGCAAAGTTCCAATCTCTATTGGGAAGCACTATAAAGAAGAGGCGGTGTGTGATGTGCTAAACATGGACGTGTGCCACGTCCTCCTCGGGCGTCCTTGGCAGTATGACAATGACATCACGTATCGAGGAAAGGATAATGTGATGATGTTCACGTGGGACGGGCACAAGATCGCAATGGCACCGGTTTCAAGCTTCACGAAACCGCCCGGGAAAACAAAATCAAGCTTCCTCATAATGACAAGGGATGAACAAGAGTTGCGGGACGCATTCCAGGAGTCCGGGTTGATCTGCCCAGTGGTGGTCAAGGGATTAATAAGTGTTGCAACAACTGAACCCACCACTCCAGTTAAGGTCCACAAAATTTTGAAGGACTTTAAAGAGTTGATATCGGACGAGCTGCCTAGCGCATTACCTCCCATGCGTGATATCCAACACCAGATCGATCTGATCCCGAGATCTAGTTTACCCAACCTGTCTCATTACCGCATGAGCCCGAGAGAAAACGAGATATTGCGCGAATAAATCGAGGACCTCCTAAGGAAGGGTTTCATTCGGGAGAGTATGAGTCCGTGCGCAGTCCCGGTACTACTTGTTCCGAAGAAAGGGAATCAATGGCGCATGTGTGTAGACATCAGAGCTATCAACAAAATCACCATCAAGTATCGGTTTTCAATTCCACGCCTTGAAGATATGCTTGATGAACTGGCTTGTTCGAAGGTGTTCTCCAAGATTGATTTACGCAGCGGGTACCATCAGATTCGAATTCGACCGGGCGATGAATGGAAAACGACATTCAAAAGTAAAGATGGTCTCTATGAATGGTTGGTTATGCCGTTCGGCTTGTCCAATGCCCCGAGCACTTTCATGCGGCTGATGAACCAGGTTCTTAGCCCTTTTATTGGCTCTTTTGTGGTGGTTTATTTTGATGATATACTAATTTACAGCAAATCTAAGTCCGATCATTTAGTCCACATTCATCGGGTGCTTCAAGCCTTGCAGGAAAATGAGTTATATATTAACCTAAAGAAGTGCACTTTCTGCACAAACAAGCTTTTGTTTTTGGGTTTTGTGGTGGGTGACGAAGGAATACAGGTGGATGAGGAAAAGGTACGGGCTACTTGCAGAAGATCATCAATAAAATGCACGCTCGATGGGTTCGCTACTTGCAGAAGTTCCATTTCATCATCCAACACAAGTCGGGTTCCCAGAATAAGGTGGCAGATGCACTAAGCCGTCGAGCTTCCTTGCTGGTTACGTTGGCCGGAGAGATAGTGGGTTTTGAATTCCTCAAAGATTTATACGCCACTGAACTTGAGTTCAAAGAAGTATGGTTCACCTGCACGCAAAAACACCCACGCGATGACTTTCATGTTCGCGAGGGGTACCTCTTTAAGGGGGATCGCGAGGGGTACCTCTATCAAGTTGTTTTTCAAGGAGATCATGCGCTTGCACGGCAACCCGAAATCCATTACATCTGATCGCGACACCAAATTTCTTAGCCATTTCTGGATTAATCTCTGGCGGATGTTTGGTACTACCTTGAACCGGAGTTCCACAGCTCACCCCCAAACAGATGGGCAAACCAAGGTCACCAATCGTACACTGGGTAACATGATTAGAAGTGTGTGTGGCGACAAGCCGAAGCAATGGGATTTGGCTCTGCCCCAGGTTGAGTTTGCGTACAATAATGCAGTCCACTCGACTACTGGTAAAACACCCTTCTCTCTTGTTTATACTTCCCCTCGGCGGCATGTCGTTGATCTGGTCGCCCTTCCCAACACTCCGGGCGTCAGCCAGGCTGCTGAAAACATGGCGAGGGATGTGCAAGCTGTGAAGGCCGCTGTGAAGGCCGCTGTAAAGGCCAAGCTTGTGGCCACCGGTCAGAAGAACAAGGCTGCTGCCGATGCACATCGCCGGGTGAAGGTCTTCGCTGAAGGAGACTCTGTTATGGTGTTCCTCCGGAAGGAGAGGTTTCCCGTGGGCACCTATTCTAAGTTACAGCCCCGCAAGTACGGTCCTTTCACCGTGGTCAAGCGAATCAATGTTAATGCTTACGTTATCGACTTACCGGCTTCTATGAATATTTCCAACACCTTTAACGTGGCCGATATCTATGAGTTTCATGAAGATTCTGTCATTTATCCTGATACGAATTCGGGGTCGAGTTCTTTACAGGTGGGGGGAGACTGATGTAGCGTCGCTGGAGAACAAACTAAAGGAAGCTGTCCGAGTCGAGGAGGAGCGGGAGCTGGCGGGAGTCGACTAAGCCCG